AAATAATTTTGTGTGCTATTATATTTTCTTAAGAAATTAAAAAAAATAAAATGTCGATAAAGCAACATTTTATTTCTATGCAATTAGATGGCATGGTAAGTCACACAAAAAAATTCGAGATTGCTATTTGAAGAATTCAATGTCTGAAATCAGTCACTGAACCAAAAGTTTGGTGGCTCTATATATTTACTTTCTGAAGTTTAAATGCAAATATAATTCTCCAAGTCATAGTCTATTTAGGTGGTCTCAAGTAGGTGTTTTTGAGTTCTTAAAAATGTTAACACTGTTTGATTTGAAAAAAATTGTTCTTGAATCTTCCAATATTTCTAGTATTCTGGTATTTTTAAATACTAATTATGTCCACATTATTTACTTGTATAAGTTTTATGTGCAGTTGAACATTGACTTCTCACATATTGTTTTTTTAGTAACTTTAGACTTATTATTACTGTAAACATAAAACAACAGGTATTTCAAAGGTGAATTTGTAATGAATTATTCCATCTTTTTTACTTGCTATTTATATTGTTGAATGTTGTTATGGTACTTTACAAGTCATTCATTCATTTAATATATTTTATTAACTTAATATATTTATTCTGATGCTATAATCTTTATTTCTGAGTAAATTATGACATGTTAATTTATATTTTGTTAAGTTAATATGCCTCTTTCGGCTTTTTCATCAATACTTGCAAATTTCCTGAAAGAAAAAAAGGGATGAAATGTCTGGGTAGCAATGAATTGTCCATAGGTAGCATGAATGCCCGTGCTCCCCACACATAGTGTAAGTCCTAATAATCAAACTGTAATCAATGTATAATTTTCCAAATGACAATTACTGAGAGGGTGACCACTTAGCCTACAACTAACAGATATTTTTTTTTTTTTTTTTACTTTTTGGATTAACAGGGAACATCTGTAAGAATTTGGTCATTGTAATTCCACCTTAATAACTACAGGAAATTTTCCATTTTTCCATGGGAAAATGGTGATTTTTATTAAGCATAGTGCTTATATCTGATGAATATGTAAATATATATTTTTATTGACTCTGTAGACAATCTCTTGTGGCCTGTATTTTTTTCTTAATCTGTGTCGTACAGGTAGTGCCGTTAAGATGTTTCATATGCATCAAAAGTAAGATGCCTGGAAGATGATGGCAATGTAATTACATAGTACATCATGAGTGATCCGAGTTTGGCACAGCTGAAGATTACTTTCAGAGTTTTGAATTAATCTGAATGACCCCAGCTTTATTGCTGTTGAGATTCCTGAAATGATAAAATGTCAAGTCATTGGACATAAACCGATGAAAACTAAACGATCTGACATGACTAATGCATAGTTTCTCTGACCTGTTCCAAATTCTGTAGACTTTATTACAAGCTGTGATATTTTATTTAGAAATACTTTTCTTAATGAACATGAGTGTCTTCTACCTTAATAAAATGCATGTCTGCTACGTAGAGAACAGAAAATCAACTGCTTTGTATATTTGTGTTTTATATGCACCAAAATTTCATTGCACACAAAAAATGTAAGTGGTGAAGCATTGCTTTCCTTCTATTATATCTTAATTTTAACAGGTGCATGTTAGTAGAGTGCTATTAAGCCTATTGTTTTTAGAGAGTCCTCCTATTTCAATCTATCACAAATTTTCCAATGCCATAAGATAATAATAGAATTTGTGGGTATAGTCTATGCTGACAACTTTTTAAAAAACTGCTATGTAACTTATATTGATAGAGTACTACAAAGAATAGCTGTCTTCACATTTATTATTATTCACCCCATAAAATGTCATTTTATAAAACATAAAATTCACATCTCAGCATATTTTCTTGAAAAGGGAGCTCTTTCATCTATAGTCTGCGGTACCTGATGCCCTTTGGATTACCTTTCAGAGTTTTACAATTTTTTCTCATATTGGAGGGTATCAGTTCTGGTTAAACTCTTTACCTTCACTAACTGAAATCCCTCAGGGGTGACTCCAGATTATATTATTTACCTCGACATTCAATTCTTTTATTTTTGCTTTTAACCATTCAAACAAAAAGCTAACTCATAAGCCTGATTTGTAGCTTGAAGTTGTTCTCATTGAATGGATTAGATACAGTGAGCAGAAATATCCCTGGCCCTTTAAGCTAATGCCATGTTTTTCTAAAGGTCACATCCAACACCTGCACCTGCACCCCCACCAGTGCACTTGCACCACCACCCCGGGGTCCATGTTCAAAGTTTGTGGTTCACTACACTTGACAGCTCCCTGTCTCTCTTAAATTTCTCTCTGTCATCTATTTCCTTGATAATTTTTAGCCATAAGTTTCCTAACAAAATATTCTGATAGAGGAAGATTTACAGTACAGTATTCGACATAGACCTCCATTCTTCTGCTTTTATCAGGAAAATTTCAAGACTTTTCCTAACACTTATTGATTAACCATAAGATTGGGCTATGACTAAACATACCATTGATTCCAGGCTTTGGTTTTTCTTTAAGTTCTTGATCAAAATCATACAATGACAGTCAAAGAATGTAGTCAGTTTCTAATAAATCATAGTCCTATTTAACTGGCATTAAAAATTTAAAAAAGAAAAGGAAAGGAAAAATAACTTGCATGTTTTGTGTATTATCCTTTTTCTTTGGAATTTGTCCCTGAGAAGTTTAGTATAACTTTAATAACTATGTCACATGCTTTCTTTCCACTTTAAACAGAAATGAAAGCATCCTCATAGTTGCTAATATCTCAAGAGTGCCTCAGTAAGATCGAGGTTTAATTTATCTATTATGAAACAGTTATGCTCTAAAGAAAGTTGCAAAAGCCGTATTAGATTCAGCTTATATAATCATGGCTATGAAATGAGACAGATTCCCTTTAAACCTGTTTTTATCCTTCTTGGAGATAATAGGAATATAATGTATTATTTTGTTTTTCTTCTTTGATCTGGTGGCCTAAGTTCAACCTTACTTTAAGTTCAGCCAACATCAATCATCTGTATATGGTAGCCACTTTTTAAAGTATTTAGAAAATAAAACTTAATGAAACATAATAATCCTAGTATATAAATTGCTAGTTTGATCAATTAATATGACTTTTCTTAACCAAGATTCCTTCATAATGTCTTTATAAGACTCCAGCATTACAGTTGGATAGTTTTTCTTTTTTGGGGGGTTATGTTGTTTATTTATTTGTTTGTTTATGTAAACTTGTAAACATATTCTTTTAGAAAGACACGTCATATTCCCTTTGAAGGAAGCATTTTGATAATTAATACAGCTAAGTAATTAAACATAATTATTTTTGACCACCTAAAATATTCTTTTGTACATCAAATAAATGAGATTTAGTTGAATATTTAGCTTTCTTGAGACCAAATATAAGTTCTATTGAAGTAATGGCCACGGGATGCAAATAATGCTGATTTCAACATAATTTACAAGAGCAAATGGTAGATATATTTTTTTAGGGTGAAGGAGACAGATGGAAGGTTTAACTGCTACCAGGGCTAACAAAATTACCAAATTTTGAAACTGTTTGTGAAAGAACTACAAGACCTCGAAAGATAATTGGGAATAAAAAAGAAAGTATCTGGCAGAATCTCCACAAGTTGTGACTGATTTTTTTCTCATACCTCTTGAAGCAAATAACTGTAATAACGATTTGTTGAATGAACTTCACCATGCAATAAATATGTTGAATGACGTCCTAATTTAATTTCTATGGATGTAACTAGAATTCCAAAACAAATTAATTACCATGGTTGTTTTACCCATGGGAAAGTGTCATTCAAAATTTATTAATAGAAATTGAAACCATAACTACAATATTAAAATGAAAACTTTGAATTTTCATGTTTAGTTTTGCTTCTGCATTTTTATTTTCTCCCTTTTTCTTTCTTTCCTTATTTTGGTTTGAACAGACTTTTATTCAATTCAGTAATATTTGCTTTGATGAGATATCAGTAATATAACATATACTGTACCATTTCTATGTGTTATACCTTAAAAATCTACAAAAATTTTAAACAATGTATATATTTTTATTTTTGTGGAATATTAGAACTTTCATGATTTTGCAGTGTATTCTATAGATATGGAATTTTTTAGGTTTTTCTGATTCAGTATCAACTTCATAGCAATGTAAGTACTCCACCTGGTGGTAAAAATACACATTTTGCTTTCTTTCTCTTTTTAAAAAAATGTTAAAAAAGGAAAATGAGGGGATAGAATTTTATATGCTGATTTAAAATATGTGTATATGTACCTAACAGGATGCCAAGTTAACTTTTACTCAACATAAGTTGAATTTGTTTGTAATCTACTATATGAGTATACTATATTTAAATTCATCATGGATTAAAATTTTGTTAACTATATTACATTTTATATTTATATTTTATATTATATTTATATTACATTCTTTTTATATTTTATATTATATTTTACAGGTCATTTTTTGCTTAATGTTGTATACTTATTGAAGTAATTAGTTTTAGGAAACATAACCTTAACTTTCTATAAATATCTAAATATCTATATTCTAGATATTTATATATTTATCATCTATCGACTTAGGTATTTTCTATCATCTATCTATATATCTGTATCTATAGATATGTTTTGTCTGTCTTACATCCTGGATTCTGTGGTATAAGTGCCAATTAATTTCATGAATATTCTCACCCTTACATTTGATATTCAGTACACACTTTGATGCTATTAGTATGTAAAATATTTCCTCACAGTAATTTTAATATAGCATTCTCTACTATTTACATTGCCCAATTAAAATTCTTAAGGAGGACCTACTGAAGTGGAAAGTGAAGTTATTATTCCTAATCATAATCCTTAACTTGACAGCAAATTGCCTTTACATTTTGCAATGTAATGTTTTAAATTTGATTTACTTGCTATAGACTATATTTTTCAAGCCTAATAATATTACTGCATACTTTTCTCACCCCACTGTCAACGTAAATTATATATGTCTTCTCAGGCATCTTCCATCTGAAAGTTCCAGAGTCTTCTCCTATTGGCTCAGCTATTGGAAGAATAAGAGCTGTGGATCCTGATTTTGGACAAAATGCAGAAATTGAATACAATATTGTTCCAGGAGATGGGGGAAATTTATTTGATATCATCACAGATGAGGATACACAAGAAGGAGTCATCAAATTAAAAAAGGTAATTAGACAAGTTTTTGGACAGGTGATTACCCAATAATAGTTTAAAAACAGAAAAAATAAAACTTGAAAATGACAAGTAATTTTAATTTCGCTTCAATTAGAAGCATGTCAAATAACAAAATAAATCTGGTAACTATAAAGTATTCACTCCCATAGGAACTGTTATTCTGTGTTTCAACAGCTATGTGTTTTATGTTGAACAATCACGCATATTAATTTGATTAAATCATTTAAAAAATTCTTACCAGAGATTAATTGCAATTTAATTGATTGCTATAAATGTAGACAAAAAATTAATTTAAAAACAAAATGCAGAAGTAATCTCTAACTTCACCAGGTTTGGTTTTGACCCTCTTATAAATTTTCTGTGAATGATAATATTCATTTCGCCACTGAGTATTATAGTTGGTGAGGGTAGCTGTCATCACCGGAGGAGTGGAAGAAATGGCAAAGGGTGAGCACGGCTTTAAGGGAGCTGTAAGGAAGAAAGTAAAAAGAAGAATTACCGAGAGAGAGAGAGAGAGAGAGAGAGAGAGAGAGAGAGAGAGAGAGAGAGAGAGAGAATAAGGGATAGACTGTGATGAGAAGCTGCTAAGTAATGGTAAATGAATTTTAAAAAAGGGATTGCAGAGAGGGAGAGCAAAGTTAGTTAAAATATTAGGGAAAAAATCTGCAGGGTATTTAGTTTTGTCTTTTGCTGAATAGTAGCATGAAGGAGTGTGCAAATGTGAGAAAGAAAAAAATCATGATTACATTTGAGGTGTGTAGATTTTTGCCAAAGGGATGAGGCAAATTATATGAATTTCCAATAATTAAGTGCAGGAAGAAGACTGAACCTTATTTAATTTAGTACTATTTTCCCCTCTCCTTCTGCAAAACACACTCTACATACCCCAAACTGCAATATATCAAATCCATTTACCAATTGTGATTATTTTAGAAGAAATGTTTTTGTGTTTAGTCCCATTAGTCAGTCTACTGTTCCTGTATTTTCTCAGGAACTCTGAATTTTAACAAGGAAACAATATATATGGTAGTGAAAATAATCTTAAGAAGAAACACACTTTTCATAGAGATTATTTATCATATTTTATCCCTAATATTGCACATAAATTTCACTTAGTCTAGAAATTAATTCAGCCCTCATGATCCCATTCAACAAAATTATGCATTTATGCCGAATTTGCAAAGTACACTTAGAAAAATGTGTCAATTTTTTTTATCAACTTTATTGTTTTTAGTTTGTTTTTCTCTTTTCCCTTCAGTAGCATATCAATAAAAAGTCTTATAACTTAATTTTTTCTCTAAAAAGTCTCCAAAAAAAACCCATTAAAATAATTTACAGACATCAATTCAAATGGAACAAATCTAAATTCTCCTAATAATATGTGAAATAATAGAAAATATTTTATATCAACAGATCATAAAATTTAAGTACAAAATTAAGTATATTTACAAAGTACAATTGAGGTAAAGAAGAGTCAATGCTATATATATTATATATTTATATTTATATATATGTTTATATTTAGTTTTTATAAATATAATCTATATTTACCTATATTTTTATATTTATATTTTTACTTTTATTTACACATATTTACCCTCTATGTCAGTGAGTAATCAATATCTAGGTGTCAATCTGGAAACTATTTGCCACTCTTATTTATTTTTTAACACAATTGAAAAGGGAATGGTAATAGCCATAGTCCTTTATCTTACATTGAAATAGATTAATCTTTGGAAATAATGATTCAGTTATATAAGCTCAAGTATCACTAAGGCAATAAGAACACATCTGCCTTTTTTGCTTATGAAGGATTTATAAAGAATAAAAGAATCATGGCAGTTATTGTATTCATTTTTTAAATTTTTTTGAGATTGTTTTCATATTTTTTAACTGGGTTAAAGTTGACATGTGCAAAAATATGAAATATCTTTATTAAAATCAATTCAGAGAATGCAGATAATCAATCTGAAAAGTATATCTCTACCTAAAAAAATATATTTTTTTCCTTTTGTGCAGAGTGAATCATTGTTGTCCATTTCACTGACATAAAGCTTGTTATCTAAATAAAACTCAGTGTTTCTAACTTTCACTTCTTCATTCAAAGGATATTTATGAAGTAGCCACTGTGTACCAGACCCCACTCTGGACATAAAAGATAAAGCAGTGAAGTAACTGGATGCATTCCCTGTATGGGGAAGTCAGACCATAAATTAAAAATCATTGTCAACAGTAACAAATTTAAGCTCAAAAGACATAAAGCAGGATAAAGGGACAACAAGGAATGTGCACGGTGGTGGCTATCTTACAGTGAACTGGTCAGAAAAAAGCTCCTCTATTAGGAAGAAATTTGAACAGAGATCTGAAGGAAGCAAGAAATGAACCATGAGGTGTCCGGGTGAAGTGTTCCAGAAAGATTGAGCATTAATTGCAAAGTCTCTGAGGGGTAAATACACTGGGCTAGGAGGCTGGTGGGGCTGAAGTGTAGTGAATGAAGGGGACATTGGCCTGAGATAAGGTCAAAGACAGCAAAGAAAGGCCAGGCCAAGACTTTGAGGTCATGGCATAGGAAGCCAAAGGTGACTTTAGATCCTGATCACCTTTACTCTCCTAGAACAAGCTGGATTACTTGGCTGCTTTGAGGAGAATAATGACAGGGAAGTAGGAATAAAAACAGTCCAGTTAAGAGACCTTAGAAATAATTCAGGAAACTGATAGAAATGTGGAGTGTGATGGTTATAGCAATGGTGATTGTGAGAAATGGTGAGATTCTGGCTAATTTTTAAAGGAACGGCCAAAACATATTTTTATAAATATTCTGGTCATCTGCTAAATTACACCAAGCATTGCAGCTCTTACACAGCCTAAGAGAATACATAGATTTGCTTTCAGTGATGTAATTTGTTTTCATCTCTTAATAAGAATCCACTAGAGGCAATCTCTACATACCGATCTATCATTCTGTCGGAAAAGAAAATTGCAATGTGTAGACTACATTTATTTGCAATGTGTAGACTACATTTATTAAGTTCTTAAAAATAACTCACAAGGACATTTTTGTAACGAAATTTTAAAATTGCCTATCTACCTATACATCATATATACTGTATTGTGTAAATTGCATTTGCATACACACACATACACATAGATCTATTACTTGATTAAACGTGGCAGTATGATTTCAAAAAAATAAAATAATGAGAAAATATCTACTTAGATAAATCCCATGAAAAATTCAAAATTAATTTAAACAACTGTAGTTCTTTAAATGAAGGATCTTTTTGGATGAAGACAGTATGATAGGACTATTCAAGCATACATTCAGTAAGTTTTCAGAAAACTTTACCTTGCAATTATCATCAAGAGTCCCTGAAGAATTAGGTTTATCAAAACAAATAACTATGTATACACCAACAGTATTGTTTCAGTTCCATAATGGTCCTAAAATTATTTTTTGAAAGTTTTCCCTTTAACGTTTCAGCATAGAATTGCAATGCGAGAATTGTTTTTTCTTTTTTTTTTTATTGATATATATATATATATTTGTGGGGTACAGAATCAAATACCAATACATGTGTACAATATGTGGTGATCAGATCAGGATAATTAGTATACTCATGTTTATAGAATGTAATCAATCTTTGTAACCCTTAATTAGTTTCTCACCAACCTCCCTCTTTCTTCCCCTTTTCCACCTCCAATAACCACAGTTCTGTTCTCTCTCTCTGTTTTGGAAACTTTAATATATTATTGTGATTGTTTCTCTTCCTTCCTTCCTTCCTTTTAGTTCCCACTTATGAGTGAGGACATATGGTATTTCTTTTTTTGTGTCTGGCTTATTTCACTTAACATAATTATCTCTAAGTTCATCCATGTTGCTGCAAATGGCAGAATTTCATTCTTTTTTTATGGCAGAATAGTATTCCATTGAGTATATATACCACATTTTCCCTATCCAGTCATCTGTTGATGGACATTTAGGTTGCTTCCATCTCTTGGGTATTGTAAATAAAGCTGTGATAGATATAGGAGTGCAGGTATCCCTTCAACATGATGATTTCCTTTGGGTATATGCTCAGCAATGGTATTTCTGGGTTGTATGGCAGTTCTGTCTGTAGTTGTTTGAGGAACCTTCATATTGTTTTCAATAATGGCTACAATAATTTATGGTCCCATCAACAGTGTAGGAGGGTTCCCTTTTCTCCATATCCTCACCAACATTTTTTATTCTCTTTTTGATAATAGCCTGTCTAACTGTGATGAGATGATACCTCAGTTAGGTTTTGATTTTCATTTCCCTGATGCTGAGCATTGTTGAGAATTTTTCATGTGTCTGTTGGCTATTTGTGTATCTTCATATGAGAAATGTCTATTCAACTCTTTTGCCCATCTTTTAATTGGGTTACTTGTTTTGTTACTGAGTTGTTTGAGTTCTTTGTATATTCTGGATAATAATCCCTTGTCAGATGCATAGCTTGCAAATATTTGCTCGCATTCCTTAGGTTGCATTTTAACTCTATTGTTTCTTTTGCTGTGCAGAATCTTTTTAGTTTGCTATAATCCCATTTGTTTATTTTTTTTTTTTCTTTTGTCGCCTGTGCTTTTGGGGTCATATAGATAAAGTTTTTGCCCAGTCCTATATCCTGAACTGTTTCGCCTATGTTTACTTTGAGGAATTTTATAGTTTCAGTTCTTTTAAGTGTTTAATCCATTTTGAATTGATCTTGGTATACAGGGAGAAGTGCAGGTTCAATTTCATTTGTCTACATCTGAAGTCCAGTTTTCCTAGGACCATTTATTGAAGAGGAAGTCTTTTTTCCACTGTATGCTTTGTTACTTTTGTCAAAGATCAGTTGGCTATAAATATGTGGGGTGACTTCTGGGTTTTCCATTCTGTTCCATTGGTTTGAGTGTCTGTTTTTATATAAAAAAATAAAGCAATGCAAGAATTTTAATGTAAAAACAAATTCATATAGGAATTTCATTTTTAA